CCATCCAAATATATTCGTCTTTCTACTTTCTGCAGACGTTAAGCAATTTCCAAACCATTAATATGCTGAAACTAAAAACATAGACCAAACAGAAAGGCACTGCCTAGAAAGAAAGGAGAATATATAACAAGCAAAGACATGGATAGAGTTTCGTCAGACAAAGAACACATGTGAAGTGTGCTGACAAAATGAGTTACTTCTCGGATTCAAGTCTTTTGGAAATAGAAACATCATGCTTATAAGTGAAGTTTTACAATTTATAAGTATGAAATAATAAGAGGTATGTTATACATAAAAAATAGAGAATCAATAGAAGATCTACTAATTTGACCTCGGTGTTGATTTTTTGACAATATCTCCTTCTGTGGACTGCGAGAGGTAACTCATTTTGTCAGCACGCCACACACATTTAAAAACTAGCTCCTGTGGTAAAGCACAACGTGTTGTGTGACATCTACACTTGAGCAAAAAATAATAGATTATAACCATTACTGAAAGTGTAACAACCGACCGCACAAGTAACTCAAATCCATAGGAGGTCAAAGAAATAAAGATGCTTCCATCATTTCTGAACAGCTCCAGACTAAGATATGGTTTAGTCGTGCAAATAAACTGTAAAAGAGCTATCTCCAGTGGCAAAACACAATAGTATTATGGTTGTTTTAACTAGGCACGCAAAAAACTAATATAACCATCACTGAAAATGTAACGACCGACCACACAAATTACTCAAAACTGCAGGACAAAACGGGAATAAAAATGTTTCCAGCTTTTCTGATCAAATCTAGGCTGAGGCAGAGTTTAGTCGTGCAACCCCCCCCCGCCCCCCCCTAAAAAAAACAACAACGAAAAAAAAGGGAAATCCTGTGGTAAAACACTATAGCGTCTTGTTTGTTTCAATTAGGCATGCACAAGATCTAATAGATTATAACCATTACTGAAAGTGAAACGACCGACCCCAAATGTTACTCAAATCCTTAGAAAATCAAAGACATGAAGAGGCTATCAGTTTTTCTGAACACATCAAGGCTAAGCTAGAGTCTAGTCGGGCAAAAACAACAACCCAACAATGGAAAAAAGTTTTCTCCTGTAGTAAACCACAATAGTGTGTTGGTTCTTTCAAATGGGCATGCACAAAAACTAATAGATTATAACCTTGCTTAAAGCGTAACGACGGACCGCACAAATTAATCAAATCCGAAGGACAGCAAATAAAGTAAGAATCTTCCAGCTGTTCTGAACACTCATGGTCTTGGATAGAGCTTAGTCGTCCAAAAAAAACAACCCATTTAGAAACTAGATCCAGTGGTAAACCACAATAATGTGTTTGTTGTGACATCCAGGCATGCACAAAAACTAATAGAATATAACCCTTGCTGAAAGTGTAACGACCGACTTCACAAATTACTCTAAACCGTAGGACGACGAAGGAATAAAAATTATGCTTTCACCTTTTCTGAACACATTTAGACTTGGACAGTATATACTCGTGCAACGAAGGCATAAAATAGCTTGCTCCCTTGGTAAAACACAATAATGTGTATGTTCTTGCCACTAGCCATGCACACAAACTAATAGATTGTAACCGTTGCTGAAAGTGTAACGACCGACCGCACAAATTACTCAAAACCGTAGGACGACAAAGAAATTAAGATGCTTCCAGCTTTTCTGAACACATATAAAAGTACGCAGATGGACAACAGAGGGAAGTAAAGGAGAAGGACCTACCAGTAGTGCCCTCCAATCACCCACAAAAACAATAACAACAAAACTTATAAAAGATCGAATGATCATTATTACAAGTACAATAAGTAAACAGTTTCTTCGACAGTTTTCTTTAAATTATGGTGATAGCACTCTGGGCAATTTAGTCGACCTGCTGCAGTTTAGAACTGTAAAATATTGACATTGTATACTCTGTGAAATACTCTAGAAAAAGTTTCTGGACTTTCATAAAATATGTTCTATCAACAGTACAACGTGACAACACTCACAACTTCAAGTTTTATCCTAACTGAGCAAGAAAATGCTGCCCCAACACTTTAAAGATCGCCCCTGTCTTATAGATAAATGTTTCTACCTGAAAAACCTATTCATTTAATAGAAAAATCCAACTGATATTTGGTCAAAAGCCATGTAACTCACTGAGCATACTTAAATTGTTGGATGGTACCGTTTCGATAATCGGCAATCAAATTGTATCGATATAAGATAAGATAAGATAAGATACGATAGTACTTTATTATCCCAGAGGGAAATTTTCCTTTGCTGTACAGGACCGTAAAAACACATGCAGGTATACATTAAAAAAAAATTAAATCATATATATTACTCTCATTAAAATTCAATTTGAAAGGTGAAGTAAAGCTGACAAAATGTACATTTATATGATTTTTTTAAAAGTGCGCGGCTTTGATGTTCATCGTTTAAGTAAAAAGAAGCACATAGAACGAATGACGGTATTTCAGTGATATGAAAAAACAACGCTTTAAATCATATAGGAGGCGGGCTTTGGTCCTACCTGTCAGAGCCAACCGGGCGGGGAGGCTCCACCACCAGACAAATTTTGATACTCGATAAAAATTTCTCCCCACTCGAGAACCGAACTCACGTCTTCAGCGTAGGATTGGTGAAGCGCCAAACAACTACACCACGGTTGCCGGTAAAGAGGATGTGGAGTCTTTAACACTTATAAAACAACCCAAGATTTTTTAAAAACCCATCCCATATAGGGATTCGAACCCGGGTCCTTCGTAACATACCCCCAACCATCGCTCGCAATGACCCCAATATGATAATATTAAATACCAGCCAGGCTGAGACAGTTAAGTACCCCTTCTTCTCTTTACGGTTCTTAGACAGTTTTTAAAAATATTTCAGTGTCTGTTGCTTACAGAAGTATAAAAATAACACCTTTCGTGCTTTGATATTTATCTAACGTCTGGGTAGAGAAATTATGCGACCTTTTCGGGTCCATTAAGAAAGTAGAAAAAGGGAGTCGGGTTGGAAAGTGGG